AATTCCTCTTCATCTGAAGAGGAAAGCGGTTCATGGTTGTGCTTGAAACGGACGCTGGTGACCTTGTCTTCCACAGTGTTGATCATTGCAGGGCACCCTTGCTGGACCCCAGTGGAGCAACCCCATAGCTGCCTTACTCCTGAACGCATGACGTAATAGGTAAAACCGTTATATTTCAGGAACCGGTAACCGGAAAAATTACTCTGGCCACCGCGAGAGGGTTTTCCATCTGAAAAGAAAAAAATATTGTAGACCTGTATGAAGGAAAGTAAAGGTTAAATTAGCAACGTGCAGTGCTACTAAATTATTATTATTATGTGCAATTTACTTTAATTTAAAATAAAGCAGTAGGAAAATGTACAGTCGAAATCAAAATTTGCTTTTCTTCAGAGTCATAATGATGTATTAGAGTAACGATTTTTTAATAGCAAATGTAAGAACATTTCTGGACAATATTTATTTCCTTTTCGAGTAAATTTACAATGACTCCACTTCTACACTCGACCCAGCCGCTTGTCTATCTCTAATAATAATTGCTAAACACACATAAATTAATTGTACAAATAAATAATATTTACACATCTCTTAAAGGTCAACTTATCGTTTTAAGGATACACATACGATGATGAAAATTTTGGTATCTTCTAAATTTGTGATCAATTCGATTTTGTGACAAACACATAGAATTTGATAAATAGTGTCTTATTTACTAGTTCAATACATCAAACACGAAGTTTTACGAATACTGTAATAATTTAAACATCAAATACCTCTCCCTGTTATCCATTTTTGGGCACCTGCACAGGTTCAAAGGTTTTAGATAGATACACACATAAAACATTTATTGGCAGGAACACATTATTATTACTATGTACCACGGAGTACCAAAAGTAAATTGGTAAGTGATAGACTTTTAAAGTTAATATGTAGTTAATAAATATTTTAAGTCAACACAAAACCATGACATTCTTATTCAGTAGTGTGTGTTGCAGCAATACAAAATGGCTAAGCCCTAAAAATCCTCAGCAAGCGGTTTACAATTTTTTTTCACAAATAAGGGCTCGTTCTCACGGCAATCCAGTTCTGCGGTATCCAGTAATTCAGGATTTCCAGCACTTTTCGGGACTCCGCAAACGGTGTTCGTGTGAAGGTTAACATTAAACACGTATACTAAGTACTAAACGGGATCCTAACAAGCCCTAACACCAAATAATTTCACTCATGGGTATGTTTATTATTAACCATAACTATTTGCTCTTCAACTGTATGTATGACAGCACGACAGAACCTCGTGGAGCACCTCCACCGCTCCTTGACGCTGGTCTTGATGGAGAACCGGAACCTATGTCCGTCATAAACCAGCATTCGCTTCCCTTTTTTCGATATTATAAAATAATATTCCGCTAGTGAACCTGAAATGGTATAAAAAGTCAGATAAATTATGATATTAAACCTTTTAAATGAACACATTATAAATTAACATTTAGCGTAACACTTAAAGCGAGCTTAGACTGGCAATAAACTTGCAGAATACAGGTGACAATTTAGCCGAACGGTGAAGGTATCAGACTGGCCGACTCGTGATCCGAGGAACGCGGGTTCGAACCCCGCCGCTCGACTTTTATAGTGAACCCATTCGAAACACAAGCATATTGAAATTACTCACTAAACACGAGGAGTTAGCGGGATATAACATTAAAAAAATATTTTGAAAAAGATTATGTTACAACTAAAAACCAATTTGTGTCAAAAGACTGCCAATTCCACACCTTTGAAGATGCGTCCACATCGGACGCATGAGCCACACTTGTCATCTTGTTCACCTTGCTCTTTATTAAGCAGAATGTCGAGCGTGCCTCACAAGCCTGGTGTAGACGCACCTTAAGATTCTTTCATTATTTACTACTGTCTACACTTGGACGTAAATATCTCGAGAAGAAAAGGCACGATCTTGAATTTTTCCAGAGGTGGAATTGTGTAAAGCAATCGTAATCATTTGACAGTTCATAACGTACGATAAAGTCAGTTAAACAAAGCGTTTGACAGAATAATCGTACGTTATGAACTGTCAAATGATAACGATTACTTTACACAATTCCACCTCAGGTCTTATTAAAGCGTCTCAAATTCTCAATGAATCGGTATAGGGCAAGGTACTGTGAACTGTGACAGTCATCCACTATGAGTAGATGAAATGGGGGTCCAAAGTTTAAGGCCAAGGTTCCACCAAAGCAGAAAGAAGAGATGCGATGAGAAACACATCTCTTCGCCTCTTCGCTGTGGTGGAAACCTGGCCTAACGCGAAAAGAAAGCTAATAAAATCACTTTTGCGATTAACATTTATTCTTATACTTATGATTATGTTCATCATGAACTGATACCACAACATCTTTAACTGTGTGGACGTAAGCACGGCATCCGGTAGTGGAGCACCGCCAGCGAGTCTTCGCTCTTGACTTAGAGCAGAATCGATACCTCCTCTCATTGTGGTACAGCATCCGTTTACCTTTTTGCGATATTATGAACTGCGTATCTGAAATTTTATCAACATGTTATTCTTACACATAAAGGATACTAGCGAAAATAGCCCGGTGGTGGTGGTGTCGGATTGGCTGAATCAAGATTTAAGGCTTCCACAGACCAAACGCGGGTCAGAAGCAGTGCGGGTAAGTTGCAGCGCCGCTGAGGCACACTGAAAGCAGCGCAGTTTCAAAGCAGTTGCAACTGGCGTCCGGTGTGTCATGCTAATATGGCCGTCATAGTAATACAACAGCGCGGGCCCGCGCTCGCGCCGTTTCTGTCCCGCTCCCGCGCCGCCTCGTTTGTCGTTCGGCAGTTTTAGTGCAGCGCGGGCCCGCGTTCAAATTTAGTGTGACACACTTCAAAGAGTTTCTTGTATTACAACTTGCACGGGCCCGCATTCAAACTGCGCTGCTACTGCCCCGCGTTTGGTCTGCCAAAGCCTTTAGTAAAGTACGCATTCGAATCTCGCCGTCCGATGGACTATTGTAGTAAACTCACTCGTAACACAAGCATACTTATTTAGCTTAGCACGAGGGATTAATTATTTTGTAATGCTAAAGAGTATGTTTGCTTGAACGCGCTAATCTGTTCGCCATTCATCAAGGAATGTAGCTATACACCATCACGCTACGACCAATAGGAGCGGAGCATCAATGAAAAATTAAATGAAAACGGGAAAAATTTTATATTACTAGTCACTAATAAACCGTTTAAAAATCATTAATTCTTTTCTTTCTTACTATGACTATGATTATCATTGAATGACACAACAACATCTTTTTCTGTAAATACGTAAGCAGGACAGCGCCAGCGGGCCGAGTGGCAGCGCCAGCGGGTTATCCCTCCTTTTTTATAGGAGAAGCGATATCTCCACCCGTTATGGCAGAGCATCCGTTTACCCCTTTGCGATACTATGAACTGCATAGTACCTGAAAATGAACATAATCATCACTGTCCACGGCGGCTCAGCGTAGCTTACCTACCTACTAGACGCGTACGCGGCAATGAACGCTTGGAGCACGCATGCACGCAGGTAACATACAAAACGATTTAAGCTTCAGCCAAACGGTGAGAGGGTACAACGCAAATTTTCACGCTGGCTATATAAGAGGAAATACGGTTACTACCCGTACCTATATCCGTCTTTATTTGTATCTGGTATGGTTGGATTAGATACGCTTAAATTTAGGAGAACCATGCAGACGATAATTCACTATTTGTGTATTATACACAATAGGATTGATAGCCCGACGACGCTGAGTAAAGTGGGGCTACTAGCTCCCAAGCGCCTGAGTTGGGACGAGGAGGGGACGGTAGCGCCGCGGCGGCGGCCGCGCCTGCTGTGGTGCCCGCCCGCGCGCACTAGGTACGCTGCACACGCGCCCACCACTCGTGCGCGGCGCCTAATTGGGGATATGCTCGCTCACGATTATGATACCGACCTATTTGCTGACAGTCTTGGGCAGTTGTGTTGCAAAGCCTTTTCGTTTATTAATGACATTTGTACTTAATTAACATTGTGTGACTTGTTTTAATGTTTATTTCTGACTGCAATGATTTACATTATGTTCTTCCTTGGACGCCTGTCTCTGGAGCTATGACTTGTATTTAATGACCATATTAATGATAATGTATTTTATTTTTGTATTTGATTTGACATGGTAATCCTAATTTATGACATGCAACTAAATGTAAATTAATTATATTATATGTATGTGTTTTGGACCTGTCTGTAAACATACATTTTCTGATAATAAATAAATAAATAAACCAACGCGTGCAGATCGCGTCGGTGATGGCGACCACTGCGCGTGCATAGGCCAAAGACAGGGTGCGCGTCCTGTCATTTCGCGTTGGTTTGGCTGAAGCTTTAGCTGAACAGGACGCGCGACCAAAGTTAAATTCGCGTTGATCACTAGTTTAAATTGACATAACAGAACTCAAAGAAAAAAACAAGAAGTACTCGTAAAAGAAACTTTCAGTACGTTTATTTAAAAAATACTTATCAGTCTATGAAGTAATGACACACAGAATAATATAGTAAAGCATTGATTGATTGACTGACTTATTATCTTACACTTTGTAAAAATATATTATTATTTTTAACCACGCTTGAAAATACGTTCTGTATACATACTCAATATGAAATATCTAGTCTATGTTGTCACTGCAAAATCCCCTTATTACAAAAGTTAAACTCTAATTACTCTTATTTTAAATTGACATTTGGCGTTTAACTTTTTTGTATTAAGACACAATTATTTACGTAAAAGAACTTTCATTGTCATCATCAACATTTCAGCCTCAGGACGTCTACTTCTGGATAGGCCTCACCCAATGATTTTCAGATTGTCCGGTTGGCAGCGGCCTGCATCCAGTATCCTCCTTCTGAGGACAACTGTCTACTTTGTGGCAGGGATGTTATGGATATCCGTAACCGTAACCGAAACTTCCGGATATCCGAAATAAAAAAATATCCGTAACTGTAAACGAAACCGGTATAATATTATTCCTATATCCGTAACCGTATCCATAACCGAAACTACATGTCCATAACATTCCTAGTTTGTGGGTGGACATTCCACGCTGCCCTTGCCCTGACACGTTTGCAATTTAGAACTTACCTGGCGTGTAATAATTAACAGTTTTATTAAAATCATGAGTGTGTTTAGTATTAGACTTGATAATTTCGCTGTCGAAAGTGATGACGTTAGCCCTGCATCCTTGGTTGTGGTGTGTGGAGCACACCCATCGTGTCTTGGGAGTGTTCGAGGGCACACTCTTGTAGGAGTATCCACCAATCTTGATCATCGGTTTGCCTTTTCGGGACATCACCATCTCGAACGCACCTGGATAAAATGGATAATCAACATTCGAATCAAGTATCAGGTAATATGGCCCGGTTTTTGAATTGAGATTTCCAGCTATAGTGTCATATTACTAATGTATAGAACATTTTAAAAGTTCATACTTGACCAAAAGACGAGCTCACCAAAGCCAAATTTAAAAAAAAAAACCGGTCTTGTGAGACATCTAACATTATAGAAAGGCTATGGTAAAATGACAAAACAAGTAAAATGGATTAAAAAAGGTAATATTTCAATTGTTTCGTCATCATTGGTAACACACAGGTAGATACAGTATCGATTAAAACGGTAATATGTCTGGTAATACTATTGGACTAGTTAAAAGAAACAAAATAGTGCATCATCTATGCAAATTCTCAAGAATACTTGATCGCAGTACTCGTTATGACTTAAACTAAATGAATTGTAAGTAATTAACTTGACACTGACGATTGGTGCAACCCGCACAAATCTACAATAAAAACAAATGAATAAAGTATAATTATAATTAGCTTATTTTCTAGAGTTGTGATGTCATTTGGTTAAAAATGCAAAAAGAGAGGTAAAAATTCTACATCTGGTAAATAACATGAAATTACAGACGCTGCAGTGCTTTTCCTACATATACAAAGCACACTTATCAACCCGGAAACGGATCGTAACCGTATCAACTCGAGGTGGTCAGTATTCTTTGTATTCAGAAACTCCGTACTGCAACGCACAGCACATTAACGCATGTATTCACATTGCTTGCTTAAGTGAAGCATCAAATCGAACGCACAGCGTTGAATAGAGCTCTGTGATTGGTTCGTGTGTCAACCTGTGCGTCTACGCGCACTGTGAGACCTCATAGTAATGTTTGTGAATACGTAGCGTAAGGGCTTCCACAGACCAAACGCGGGTCAGAAGCAGTGCGGGTCAGTTGCAGTTCGGCAGTAGGCACACTGAAGTCAGTGCAGTTTCAAAGCAGTAGCAACGCGGGCGGTTGTCAAAAAATTCAAAATTCGAAAACCGCTTTCAACGCGCTGCTACTGCCCCGCGTTTGGTCTGCCAAAGCCTTTAATGCCTCGCCTCGCGGTAGACAGCGCGGCGAAAGGACGATACGGTATTGATCCCTGTCTGGGTTCATAAGATCAACGTCTTTATTGTTAAAATCGTTGGTATTACTTCAGAAAGTTAGGCAAGCCGTGTGTATGGTCGTTCCTCAGTCGTATTATGACGTCAGCAAGCGTGTGCGCGTACGCTTTGCACTTTATAACCTGGTTGTTGTGATGCGTCGAACAGTGCCACCGTGTCTTCCCGTTGCGGTACTGCTTCTCTTTGGAGAACCTGAACCCTCCGATCAGTAGTAGCTTCCTTCCTTGTCTTGATATCGTCACCTTGTAAGTAGGGCATGAATATCGGAATCTCGGAATCTCGTAATATCGGAATCTCGGACTGCGAGATCCTATATTTCAATTCCGATATTGAGCGACCCAATATCGTAATATCGGAATCAGATAAAAGTTTTAATTGAGATTTTAAACAAAGCGTTTAAACTCTCTACAACCTGCCACAAAGCCCAAAGTACATGATTGGATACCAATGATTTTCTCATGTCTCTCACCATCACTTTTTGTTCAACTGCAAATATTTTAATATCTTTGCTATTTATGGTTAATTTAACTTGTTCTAAATCAATTTTAGCACTTGCCATAGGTACTTGGTCAACAAAGAACGACATCTCAACTCCCTTTCAAACATTAATTTTACTTTTATGGACCGTCAGTTCTGCGTACTATGTGCCCTGCCCATTGCCACTTCAGCTTGCTAATCCGTCGGGCTATATCAGCGACCTTAGTTAGTTTACGGAGCTCCTCATTTCTGATTAGATCTCGTAAAGAAACACCAAGCTTATCCCTCTCCATAGCACGTTGAGTCCTATATTCAAAGGCCACGTTTTCGAGCTGTATATCATCACTGGTAACACACACTAATTGAAGACTTTCGTCTTCGTATTCGATGATTTACCTCTTTCTCGAAATTGCATCTAACTACCTAGCTGATCGTTTGTCCGAGATAGACATACTTACTTGTCAAAAATCTCGAGAATCGAGCTCCTAACCGAAACTAGGTAAGGAGCAACATGGGCATTCGACATAAGCTTCGTTTTTTCCATATTCATCCGAAGGCCTACCTGTTGGGAAACTCGATTAAGGTCTCCGAGCTTTGTGATAAGGTCTTCCAACGGTTCTGCCTTAGTACGAAAAACAGACGGACGAAGAGGCAGCAAGGTTCTGAAGTGGAGGTCACGTACCGGAAAGCGCAGCGTAGGACAAGGTGGACCGAAGACCTCATAAAGGTAGCAGGAAGGCGCTGGATGCAGGCCGTCATCAACCGGCCATTGTGAAAATCAGCATCGGAGCCTGTGTTCAGCAGTGGACATCCTATGGCTGACATGATGATGATGATGGCTCGTGGTTTTGTGAGTTGTACATCGATAATCAAAAAGGAACAAATTACAAGCATATTCAAGATTTTTACCACTGTCTACAATTTTTGTAACACGTGATTTGAATGACTCTAAAATTCGTTCCGCCAACATAAAACAGGGTAATATAATGAAGGAGTAAAAGTTTGTTTGATACCTGTGATTTTATAAAAACACTAATTATTTGCTAGTCCATATAGGCTCATTATCTGTAACTATTCATTATCAGGTTATCCGTCTGCTCGTTTGCCTCTTGTCACATAAAAAACCAAATGCATTGGATGCCCATAACGTAAAAATATAACCAAATATAAATTTTATAGCACATGAACTCAATTCCGATATTAATATCGGAATTCCGATATTGATATCTAATATCGGAATCCAATATCGGAATTGAAAACCTTCCGATATTACATGCCCTACTTGTAAGGGATTATTGTACCGGGTTTTATGTCTGTGGGATTAAATGAGATACTCAGATTTGGGTATAATTGGCGATCACTATCTGAATGCAAAGATACTGAAGAATTTTAAAGATATATTACTACATCTGCAAGTAGCTGGCTAGCTACCACCATCTTACCTAAGTCTGTCGCCATATCAACAATGTTAACAGAATTGTTGTGTTCCGGCAGTTAGAGGTAAGATAGCCAGTTCCTCCATGGTTGAGGATTCCGTGTGAAGCTCGCTTCCACCTTCGGCCTGATCGTCACTTACCATCAGGTGAGATACAGGCCAAGAGCTTCCTCGTAGTGGATAAAAAAAAGTTTTTTTTTTACATATTTATTGTAAAACTAAACACTACATAAGGTGTAACTGCTCGAGCTCGATGAGCCCTCGTACATTAATAAAGATAGGAAATAAATATTTTTATAAAATGAATAAATATTTATTCACTTAAACAACCCAGTGTTTACAATAGAATGTAATTAGAACTATGTTAATCTAGGGTTAGTTTTAGTTTTAAAATGACAATCGATTACAAATATGTAATTTAATAATAATAATTACGTAACATATTTACCTAATCAACTTAGTTATAATATTATTATAGTAGTTGAAGATAAAATTATTGTAAACACGATCTTCTCCTATTCTTTCCAGTAGGCCTAAGATGCGCGCCGTGATAACTTTTATCGACGTCAAAATGTATGGGGAAAATCGATAAAATGACGTGATAACCGCTTATCGCGGCGCGCATCTTTGGCCTACAGATGTCCGATATATAGAAAATAAATTACCACTAACTATAGAAAATAATCTAGTCTAGCTTCATGGTTGTGTGACTCGTCCGCAAGGAGGATGCTATCATCCATCGTCTTCACAAAGGCTTTGCATCCTCGACTGAGGTGCGTAGAGCAGCGCCATCTAGTAACTCTACTAGTAGATGTCTTTTTCGCCGCGTAATACCGGTACTGGTTCAGTTTTAGCAGCCGATTTCCCTTTTGTGATGTTACAAATTCTGCCAATCCTAAAACAAAGGTTTTTAGGTCCTTAGTATGATGGCACTCGATTCTGAAACAACATCGAACACTATCGAGCTAATTGCGCATCTCGCTGGTACATATTCGCATACCTCCCCGTTCGTTCGCCCCATCCGTACTGTAAAAATTATCTAGAGCCATTTGAAAAAGACCAAGCAATCATCACGTAAAATCATTTATTAGTTTCATCATCAATTTGTAACATAAATATACGTCATATTTATTATTGTTTAAAAATATTCTAAGGAAGAGCGGTGTCTCTGGCACAGGCTTAAGCTTAAAAGGAGACATCGATCTTTATAATTATAAGCCTAGGCGCAGACCACCAATTTTTAGTCGGCCGATAGTTGGGCCTGATTCTAATTTGTATGAAGAATCAATCGGTGTAATGTGCGCACTTCTAAATATGCCCAAACTGATTAACTGCGTGACTAAACTATGAGCCGGCAAAAAATCGGTGGTCTGCGCCTAAGGTAGAATAAGGAACCCATTGCTAATGAAAATAAATATTTAGGTATTATTGTTTTTGGAATGTTTTTTGGCAATGAGTACGTTTTACTAGTACACTCGCTTATGATTGTGATTAGTATTCCATGGTATAAGGGTATTGTCCACTGTTTTGTAACGCGCTCTGCATCCCTTCGAGTGATGGGATGAGCAGTACCAATGCAGCATCCCTTTGTCCCGATACAAACGGGAAGAGTACTTGTAACCATCGATAATTAACTGCTGTCTCCCTCTTGATGAAGTCACGAAAATTGCCTCTGAAAAAAAAATCTATGAGTGACTGAAGTAGGTCACTGCTTCTTATTTAGTACTAAATTAGTACTAAATTAGTACTAAATTCTTAGATTTTTAGTACTAATTAATAATTTTCCATGATAGTTTGTAGGTTGGTATTTATTTTTTCTTACACACACACAAGAATAAACACAGTTTTTGATCTAGAAAATGCGACTATATTTACTTGTACTTATTTTCTAATATTTTAATTATAATAATACTTAGTAATGACACATTATAGTAAGATTTAGAAGCTTACAACCGTATTCCCAAACGATACTTGCACGTATCAAATCGAACGCACAGCGTTGAATAGAGCTATGTGATCGGTTCGTATGTGACCCTGTGCGTCCACGAGCATTGTGAGACCTCATAGTAATGTTTGTGAATACGGGCGTTAGCTTTATACATGTGCGAATTTGACATCTTGACATCCAAGTCTTCTTCACACTTCCATCGTACACTGATATCGTAGGTTTAGAACAATAAGAAAAATCATAGTAGGTAATTATGCCATTAAAAATAAAAAACAGAACAAAAAGAAACAGATGAAAGGATTTAAAAAGTAATTTTAGGAAATATATTTTACTATACAAAAGGCTTAATATAATTAAGGGGGTAAAACGGGATCTACGCGTACGAAAACGCAGGCGGCCGATTACCAAAACTCTTCAAAAAAGTGTAATATTTGGCATTACAGTTTCATTGTATAATCTTGGCTTCGTGGGTATGAATACCAGTTGATGACATGATGGAGTTGTCCACTGTCTTCAGCCCAGCCCTGCATCCCTTAGCGTGGTGCGAGGAGCAGTACCAGTGCCTTAAATGCTTTCCCTCAGACCTTGGCCATAAGGAGTATTTGTATCCTTGGTGATACACTTGCTGCTTGCCCCTTGGTGATACCATGAAGAACGAGTCACTATCTGAAAATATTGAGATAGAGTCAAAAATCATAGCTAAGTACGATGAGTGATGTTCAAATTAAAAAAAAAAGGCTGAATAAAGTGACTAACTTTCTTGCGCTGCTTCTTTTCAGCATTGGCTCAGTTGTTGTCCCGAAGTAGTGGTAGGGTTTATATTGGGACGTGTACAGGTATTGGGACGAGTAAAAGTGCTTTTTAAAAGCTTAGGTACTTGCAAAAATAAAATAAGTTTATGAGTAATTTTTACAAACAGATAAAAGACTCAGATTCAAACAAAAATATTTATTTATAGCTATTTACCATCACTTCAAAAGTTGATAAAATTTTTGACGTTCTTTATTAAAATGTATACTTCAAATATAAAGATACATTTGAGACCCAGGGATAAACATGGGTTAGTTTTTATCTCGCTTTTTGAAAGAGACAAAAGCACGTTATAAAGACTTTCTATTATAACCCGATCAAGTTAACTGCGTACTTCGCTGGAATGCGACTCTCCCTTGCATTGCACGCACATCTGCATTCGCCCCGTCCGTACCAGAGCGTCCATGTGACGTCACGACCGCTAGGTAGGCAGTTAACTCGATCAAGTTGTACATACCGAAATTCATTAAAATTAGTCATCTGTAATTTGTTCAGAAAATTTCAGCCTTTTCAATTTATCGCGATGAGCTCTTGTTCGCTCACGCCAACTTTTTCGTATCGCTTTCTGTGTTCTTGGTGGATATTCTT